TCTGGGTTTAATACTGAAAAACACCCTTTCCCTGGGTTGTCCATATATCCCTTCCACACCCAACAGAGGAGGGAGTGTTTTCTTTCTCAGTGTCTGATGCCTGCAGGTGATGGGAGACTTGGGAATGCTTCAGTCATTCCCCTTTCAGGTGGCACTGGCTGATTTCCCCATCACTTGGGAGGCTCTCACCGCTGCCTCTTCCCTTGCAGTCCATCGGCTCTGTGTACAGCGGCCTCATGCAGGGAGTGGGAGCTGCTGAGAAGGTCTTCGAGTTCATTGACCGCAAGCCCACCATGGTGCACGACGGCTCCCTGGCCCCGGATCACGTGGATGGGAAGGTGGAGTTCAGGAATGTCACCTTTTCCTACCGCACTCGCTCCGCAACCCAGGTCCTCCAGGTGAGCGCCGTGGGCACTGCGCCACTCACAGCACCACTTGCTGCTGCTCCATCCTGGCCCCAGGAGCAAACCCCAGCCCATGGGGAGAGTCATCTGCCTGTCAGAGATGTGTAAAGGCAGGCTCAGTGCTTGCTGGAAAACAGATTAAAAGGAGCAGCGGGTGTTTAGGGCCGGCCTTCCTTACAAGGAAGGAGATTTATTAATAAAACCTTTGTTCCCCGCTCAGGCATTAAACATGTCAGCGTGGTACGGGGCTTTGTGCCAAGCTGCCTCAGACTGTTTCCATGGGAGAGGGGTTGGGATCATGAGGCAGGGGGAAGCAGCAAAGAGGTCAGTTTACTTTTTAGAGGACCTGCTACATCAGCAGGCAAAGCCGAAGCAATTTGGAGGCTTTTTGCTTCCTCAGAGCCAGGAGAAATGGCTGATGTGGCACATCACCAAGGCAGAGGGGCACTCTGGCCAGATCCTGGCTCCTTCTCTTGTGTAATGCCCCAGGACGTTGAGAAAAGCCTGGACCTGAGCATGCTGTCCCATCCATGTTGCAGAACGTGTCCTTCACCCTGCACCCTGGCAAAGTGACAGCGCTGGTGGGTCCTTCAGGGAGTGGGAAGAGCTCCTGTGTCAACATCCTGGAGAACTTCTACCCTCTGCAGGACGGGCAGGTGCTGCTGGATGGGTGTCCCATTAACATGTACGATCACAAGTACCTGCACTCCGTGGTACGAGCGACTGATACCTGTATTCTGGTTGTGATACCTGTGTTCTGCTTAGCCCACTTACCACCTGCAGGGCTCTGAGGGGATGCATGGCACTGCTGCACATTGCTTTGGATTTGATCTAACAGCTTCAAAAATGTCCAGAAAGCTGGAGGCTGGAAGTGGTCCAAGAAATGAATTTGGATAATTGTGGGGGTGGAAGGGAAGGGGATGGAGGGTGGTTTCAAGGGGAAGGGGAAGCCTTCCAAAAACAGAACAAAAAACATCTTTTGTTTGGTGTTTTTTGGCCAACACAGTAGAAATATGTTTTTGGCTGTTGGATTAATCATCATCTAAATTTGGTTTGGAAAAAGAGTTTTGTATTCCTCCAGCAATTTCTGCCTTAAGATCTTAGTGTAATTCTCAGCTAATGGGGAGTTAAACCTCTCAGGATCCTGGCAGCAGCTGGAGCACCAGAAGGGCTGGTGCTTTGCCTAGGAGAGGGGTCTGGGCCCCTCAGCTCTCATCTGTGTGTCAGCACAGATCAGCCTTCATCTCTGCAAGTAACTGCCTCCTTTGTTTGCCCCCAGAGCAAATGGCCTCAGCAGTCAGCAGGAAAACCTGAAAACAATTGATCAGAGACAGGCTGGAAAGCTAAAGTCACTGTGACTAATTTACATTCCCTACCCGTACAGAGCAAAAATCAAAGACCAAGCAAATGTTTCAGTTTAGAAAGCCTGATATGGTGTTATGGGTGTGGAGAGAAGTCAATTAAAATATGACTGTATCTCCCTGGCTCTCTCATGCACGATTCTGAGTAATAGTTTGAAAGGTTTGATTTATTCCAATATCAAGGGTTTGATAAAGTAGCTGAATGTGACAGTGAACAGCCATGGCTGTAAGGCAGGACAGGAAGACTGTTGCTAAGCAATTAAGGAATTGCAGCAGTTACCTCCCTAACTTGCTCATTTGGGATTAAAAGATGCAAGAGGGCTCATTCACATGGCCCAAGTGTGATTACTGGCCTTGAAAGGAAAATCAGCAAGGGCCTGGGAGAGGGTGTCTCCAACTTGACTTATCCCAGGAACTGGTTTTCCATTCTGGGAAAAGCAAACAGTGATGGAAGCAACAGATCTGGAGCAAAAGTACAGCAGGCTTTAGAAGGGGGAAGCCCATCCCAGATGCCAACGTGCCAGCATTGCATGAGGTTTCTTTCCTGCAAAATGGCTTTCCAGCAGAAGATGCAAACTGGGAACCCTGACGTTGGCATCCTCACTGAAAGCTCACCTTGAGCACTTCTCTGTCTTGCTTAATGACATTTCTATATCTTGATCTCAGTCTTTACTCAGCGGGAACAAATATCAATGGTCAGAGATATAATGCAGTGCATCTTCTGCTCCTGACCCCTGCTCTCCCTTCGCTTCCTGCAGATCTCTCTGGTGAGCCAGGAGCCCGTGCTGTTCGCCCGCTCTATCGCAGACAATATTTCCTATGGCTTGACTTCGGCCTCCTTCGAGTCCGTGGTTCAGGCTGCCCAGAAGGCCAACGCCCACAACTTCATCACCGAGCTACAGGACGGCTACCACACAGGTACCCACCCGCTGCTGGGCCTGCCAGCTGCATGTCCTGGCAGCTCCTGATTTTCATCCTGACCCCTTCCTCTCCCTTGACCCAACAGAGGCAGGGGAAAAAGGAGCTCAGCTGTCAGGTGGGCAGAAGCAGAGAGTGGCCATCGCCAGGGCCTTGATTCGAGCCCCTCCCATCCTCATCCTGGACGAAGCCACGAGCGCGCTGGATGCAGAGAGCGAGCACGCGGTGAGTGGGTGTCCTGGCTGTTTGGGCCAAAGGGGGTTTGGAGGACAGACTGTAGCCTCAGTTTCCAGCCAGTGGACAAACTCATCCCAGTCAGAGGGATGAGTAAAGCATGAATTCCAAATTTGCTTCCAATGCTCTTGGAGCCACCAGGAAAGGAATAATTCCATGCTCACAGCAGCCAATGCCTGACAAACCTGATGAGGTAGAGATCTTTGCTTATTTTTTCAATGTGGAAGGTGTTAATTGGCATACAGAGACTCTGTGCAGCCTTTTAGGACAGGATACAGAGGAAGACCCTATAAAATGGTGCTGCAGCAAGGAGAGTAGGAGTGCCTGAGCTCAAATCCTAGCCGAGGTGCCAAAGAAGCCACACTTGCAGGAAAAGCCTTGAGCATCCTGTAAACTGTTTTAACTGTCTGTAATTTTGGCTTCCCTGATGTAGTGACACAAGGGAAAGGCTGTTCAAGGTTGGTATTTGAGATGTGCCTCCAATCCCAGAGGACAAATCCTGCTGGGGCAGCACAAGTATCTGACCTTGGAGCAGCTTGCTGCCTCACAGGTGTCACGTGTGTGGTACCTGATGCCAGCCCAGGGCTGGTTTTGGCTACCCAGGGGTGTCAATGTGACATGTGCCTGATGGCCACCTGCCTGCCTTTAGACGTCAGTGCTATTGTCTCTTGACTGGGTAAAAACCTCTCTTGCCTTGCCTTGATACACCGAGGAAAGAATCCTGCTTTTCTGAGCAGCTGCATTCACCAGGTATCGGCTTCCTGCAGTCTCTGCCGGCACCACGTGGCTTCCAAATTTGGGGCCCAGCTGTAACAAGTCCCCAGCTTGCAGGATCAGACCTGTGCTCATAGCTCACCTGGCTGGACTGAGATGGTCTATGGGCTGCGGCCGGGAGCTGGGCTGGACGTGCTGGTGCTGGTAGTGCTTCAGGGAGCAGAGGAGAACACATCTCCTGTCCAGAGGACACAGACCACAAAGCTGCTGCCCGGGCACTAACGCCTTTTCTCCCCGCAGATTCAGCAGGCGATCTACGGCGACTTGCAGAACCACACGGTGCTTGTCATAGCTCACAGGCTGAGCACTGTGGAGAGGGCACACAACATCATTGTGCTGGACAAGGGCCGCGTGGTGCAGCAGGGCTCGCACAAGGAGCTGATGGAAGAAGGAGGCCTTTATTCCAAGCTGGTGCAGAGACAAATCCTGGGGCTGGAGGGGGGCGGCACGGACAGTGTCCAGCCTGCAGCCCGGGGGGATGCGGCCAAGGCGCCTGGAGGGCTGGAGGAGGAGTTCAGGATAGACCATTCCCTGCCGGCCGTGGCACAGGACGATTTCACCAACGCTGCTCCCAAGTAAGGGCAGCCGGCGCTTGGACGCTCCCTGGGATGGAGGTGGCAGAACAGCTGGAATGGAGGTGGCAGAACAGCTGGGATGGAGGTGGCAGAACAGTGCCGCTGGTTCGCCCCATGTCACACACCCTGCACACCCAAACACACACCATAGAGCTTCCTGCAGGACACCTGCCGGCTGGCAAAACAGGGATTCACTCGAGGGAGCTGGGTCTTTAGCAATTCTCAGCATTTCTTACTGGGTTTCTTTTCTTACTAACAGTAACTCCTCTCGACTGGGACTTTTCTCCCATTGATCTGCATGTGTAACTGCTATTAACTGTAATGGATGTTAAATGCATGCGTGGAGGGGAAGGTTGAAAATCCCTCCAGGAATTTCAGGGGGTGGCTTTTGTGGCTGGATAGAAAACCGGTGACTGTAAAGCAAGGTCCTGCTCCCTCTGTCAATCTATGGGGCTAATCCAAAGTTGGCTGAAGCCTGTAGGGAGTTCCCTTTGGCTTTGGTGAAAACTGGATCACTCCCATGGAGCTGAATGCCGAGAGAGTTTTGCACTGAGTGCCTGCAGGCTCAGGCTCTCAACCATTGCTGCTGAGCTTGTATTACGTAGTATCCATCCTTGCTGGGACAAGCCAGGGGACCAGGAGACAGATGTTAACTTTCTGATTTGCTCTTGGTGCTTGGTGGGTGTTTGTTTTTAAGGATGAAACATTTTACCATAACTGGGTTAGGTTTTGGGGCTTGGGGTTTTTTTGGTTTGATTTGTTTGTAGTTTTTTAACGTTATTTGTGTGCACTGTGCAGTGTCTGTCTGGCTCCAGCATCCACTGAAAATTGGTCTGTTATTTCAGAATTTTTTTTAACTCACAACCCCGGTGCTGGTGTGAAAAAAAAAAAAAAAAACACTACTAAAGACAGGCAAAAAACACTAAAAGACAGCACTTTATAAATCCCACCAAAGCTTTGTTCAGCTTCAGGCCATGCTAGCGACTTCACTGCATGGGAAATCCATTCTGTCACGTTCCTTGAAGTCCAACTTCAGCTGCCTGAACTTTATAATGTGTTTCTTTGAATATAATTTATTTTAGTATGAGGGATAGAAAGAAATGTGTTGCTCCTAGCTCTTTGGGGTAATGGCTCTGGCTTAGTAGTGTTATCCTGCTATAGACTGGTGAAAAATCCTATGCAGCCAGGCAAGTGCTGTTTTAAAAATAGCATTTCTAGGGGAACACTGATTTCAGACTCTGCATAGTTAAGAAATTCTCTCAAGCACTTTAGCTCTCATGTTTTCTGATACTTAAATGCTGCTGCATTTTCCTTTCCAGCAGGTTTGCATTTTTGTTATTGGCAATGTTTTGTTTTCAGTTAGTGATGTTTTACAAACTCTAAATTTAGTGTCCTTGAGGAGGGATGCTCAAAAAAAAAAAATAAAATACTACCTCTGCCACTCAACGTCGAGCCGCTCTGGTTGGGAGTGTTTTTTGCTTTCTGGGTTTTCAAGGTAACGTTCATCTGACACCACAGCTGAATGCAGCTGCTCTTGCACTTGTTCTGGGGAATGACAAGAGGAACCCACAGAGAAGGAGGTATGTAAAACACTTCAGCATCTGATAATGGCTGTGAGCCCAGCAGTCAGGATAACTCATTTCCATCCCAGATTCCGTTGAGTGTCAGTCTCCCAGGCAAGGACAGGCAGTCTAACCCGTTCTCAAAGCACGGTGCTTCCTGACTGGAATCTTTTCAGCTGCTGGCTTTTGTGATATGGTAACAATCTGTGCCTCAGAAGAAGAACAAGATCTCTTTTTGTTTTCCTTTCCTCCACTTAGGGAAATTGTGTGGTGCTCTCAGCTCCTCAATCACCCCTTCAGTAAATGGCCAGGAGTTCCTGCTTGATGAAAATTTGCACTGTGGGTATGAGGAGGTTGGGGGTTCCACCCAGTGCTGACAGGCAAGTGATTCATTCTGCATTTTTATCAGTATCTGGGAGCAGAATGTGGCCACCGGTTCATAGAAGTGGAATTTATTTCTGCTTAATTAAAAAGCTGGGGGAAAACCCAAATTGGGCTGCCTGGGAACTAAGAAAGCCAACTCAGCCTGCAAAGTACTGGTAGGACAATGATCATTAGTACATGAGATGCCAGGAAAGAGAATTTGATTATGTCCTGTGTGTCCCTCCCAGGTGTGACTGCGAAAAGGGAACTGGAGGATGCAATTAGATTAGTTTTATTTCAAAAACTACACTGAATTTCAGGAAGGGAATCCTGTTTCCCAAGGCTGCTGTGATGATAATCCCAGCATTGTATTCCCAGGTTAGGTCTAAACAGCTTCCACTGAAATGGCACACTGGAAACAGCAGATTGTCTCTGCTGGTGGCACCAGTCCAAGCTGATAACAGGGCCTGATTTTGTTCATTGCCACAGGTGCTGAATTCTCTCTTCTGCATCCAGGTAACTCAAGGCTACTTTTCCCCTGAGCCTCTCATCTTGTGGCTTGAACAGGCCCTTTTATTCTGCTGTTGGCATGTGACAAGTGGCACTGCTTGTGTGCTAAAGCTGTGAGGGTTTTCTTATGCCCTGGAAGATGGGTGGGAGCTCCACACACCACCAGAGATCCAGCAGATCTAATCTAATGCAGATCTTTTTGCATGCACAAACCCTGGCACTGTATAGAAAATCGTGCTTTTCTAAATCATTCCAACTATGGCTTCTTTTTGAAGTGAAAATCAGGGTCAGCTGTGCCCATTAGCCAGGCTGAGCCTGGCAGTAAAGCAAGCTGTGCTTCACCCAGAGCAGCAGTGGGAACTGCTCCAGTGCTGGAACACGAGCTGCTTCCTGGAGCTGCCCAATCCCTCGGGCCTGGCTGCCTGTGGGCAGTCTGTTTCAGGCTGTTCTCCTGGAAACAAGGCCACTGTTCCCTCTCAAACCCTGGACTGTAGAATTGTGTGGCTGTGGCTTTGCCCAGAGTTGGGAACGTGAACAAAATCGGTTTGAGAGCTTCTCAGAGTGATGGAGATAAAAAGTTATTTTTCTTCAAAGGGAAAAGTCCTCACAGGGAACTTGGAGGGGCTCATCTGAAACCTTAACCCGGAGGCACTGAAGACTGTCCTGGCAGAACTGTAAGCAATTAAGCATTTGAAAGCACAACCGATTGCAAAGTTGACTGCATATCCCATGGCAGGTTGTTTGCCTCACTATTAATAAGCTCTAACCATTCCCTGTAATAGGTATAACCACAGCTTTATTTGATTTAAATAACAGTGAACCCCATCCAAGGTGAAATTTGAGAGTGGATCCTACAGTCCCAGTGCTTCCCCAGGGACAGGGATTTACCCTGTACCTTTGCACAGCCAGGGTCTGTGGCTGACTGACCCAGTAAATGAGCACACTGATGGAAAAAACACAGCTGTGTTTATTCCAACAACTTGTCTCCTGCCACACCAACCTCTGCCTCAATAACCAGCTGTGTGTGTGTCAGTGGCTGCACTTTCTAGGCCTTCAGCAGGTCTGGAAGTGCCACAAGCAAACAGAAAGTGCTTCTAGCTCAGGTTGAGAGATGTGGTTTAGTCTGGGGAGAAAAAATAAAATTTGCCTCTTCTATTGCAGCTCCACTGTGAGCTTAAGGCAAAGAAATTAAGTGCAGGTAAATAAACCTGCTGCTCTTCTGACACCTGCAGCTCCCTGAAAGGAAGGAGTACCTTACAAACACCTAATTCCTGCCACTGATCTCTCAAACAGAACAGCTGTTTCTCTGCCAGGATGCTGAATACGCAGGTCATGTCCGTGGAGGAATCTGGGTTGTGAAAACTAAACAGAAGTATGGGCTGTGCTTAATATACAGAAGGAAGTTAAATTGCAAATAAGCCCCAAAACTTATCTGTACATTGAGCAACCAGACTAATAGGGGTTAATGTACACCAGAGATGAGATTTGCAAATTCAATGTGTACATAACCAACCTGTTTGTCCAGGAAAAGAAAATAAGACGTGAAGGTGACTTGCAAAATACGTCTAAATCTAATAAATATGCATTAGGGCAGTGCTACTGACCGTAAAAGGATATAAGGTAACAGGAGGAAATTCAAGATCAAGTTTAAATAGGGAAAAAAAATCTAACATCTTATCTAAACCAGGCCAGTTCTCCCTAAGACTGGTGCCTGACTTCTTATTCACCATGACATGGTTTCCCCTGTAATCTTCACAATTTTTTATTCCATTTCTCCTGTAATAAGAAATTCTGACTTCTGTACTTTGCCTGCTTACAGTTCTAATGTACTCAACTGCTGTCACCCTTCAAAAGGATTTCAGCAAAGGCAAATAGGAACCAAGCCTGGGGAGATGATAAGTCCTAGCCTGCAGCACTGCAATATTTGATAAACCCTGTAGCCAAAATCCTGGTTTATCTGCAATCCTTCATATCCTGTCCCAGTGATTTGCTGTCACAAAACCTTTATCTTCCATGAAGACTGCAGAATGGGAAGGCACCCTCCTACCTGTCCAATAGAAAATATAATCATACAAAAACAGTTGACTTCTATCTCGTGTCTCAGCCTCAGCTGCTTTTCTGGACAACTGAAGAACTCAATTACATGCAGGTGCCGACCAAAGTACTCCAAAGCAACCTAGATGTTTAATGCAAACTCCTCTCCACCATCACTGGAACCCAAATTATCCACCCAGGGTGAAGCAGTATTTTCAATGTATGTTGTATTTGAGCACAAATTAGTTATGTTCTTACCTGCGACTGAGCAGTTCTTATTATCCCACTTTTTCAGCAAAAGGCACCATGGTTGAGAACTCCACTCAGGATCACACAGTGAGGCAGTGGTAGAACTAGATTTACAACATGAAGCTGAGTCAGACTCTTCTGAACCACACTCCCCCCAAACCATTTATTGTTGAAATTACCAATGTTCTTGGGAAGAAAGGGCTTCTCCTAATCCCTCAGCTAATTCCTCTGTTTGCATGTGTGTATATCTATACGTGTGTTTGCATGTGCAGATTTACAGCAGGTTTAACCCGTGGCTGTAATTCTGTTTGATGGGCATGTACAAATACAGGCTAGGTGGAATGGTGTTGGCAGGGCGACTATCTGCTGGTTTTAAAGAGCAAGGCAGGGCTGTGGTGACTGTGCAAACCCCTGCCAGTGCCCAGGGCACGGCTGCTGACTCACCTGGCACAGAGCACATACCTGCAGCAGGCAGGTGTGCTGGGGTGGTGAGTGCTGTGATACTGGGACATGCCTGTATCACTGAACACCTTTTCCCCACCCTCGGCTCAGCTTCCTGCTGTGCAAACATCATGCTCTCACCTCCCTCTGAGCGCACCCTCGGATCTGCTCGAGCTGCCAAAAGAGCTGGAAGGCTTCCTCTAGCAGGGTCACCTTGCTGGTGACCTGTGGAAAATTCCCTGTGGAAAATAATGACAAAGAAGGTTTTCAGGAGGGTGGGAGGTGTGGGGAGCCAAGTTTAGTTATAGGACAAAAGAACATAAAGCTGTCACGTCATCACAGTGTCCTGCCAGGAACTGCTGGGTCACTTCCTGAGTGTGACTGCAACTTCATTCCATCAGAATTGTATTCCGTCACTATATGGAATTTTTTTTTTTCCCCAGTTAGATCAAAAATATCAACTCCAAAGGACAAGGACCACCTGGCCATTCCCTGCCCTGCTCCCTTGGCTCCTGGCTCCTTTTGGCTCTCTCTCCAGAGTTATACACACGGAAATAATACACACACCCACGGAGGGACAAAAGCAGGCCAGGAAGGTGCTGTATGCCAAGTGCTGCATATAACTTAGGCTCTTTTAACACAATTAATTGTTTCCAGACATAATTGCCTTTATCAGCTCTGCTAACAGCAGCAGTAATTGGGGAGCTGCTGCTCGTAAGGGTTACCACACACTGCATACTCCAGTGCTGGTGACACGACTGATAAAAATCAGAAGATCAAAATATATGGTGGTTTAATTGATGCAGTTTTTACTACATTGCATTTCAAAAGTATTTAAATTTACAATGAAACACATTTTTGATGGATTATTTATTGACCTTCACTGTTGAAGAAGAAAGTGCTAAAGATGGATGAAATGACCTAACACCAAAGCTTGGCCAGATATGATTTTTAGCTATTTAACCTAAATAAGTACTCAGCTTAGGCTTGAGAACAATAATGCAATCACTCTTTTGAGATTTACCCCAGCCAAGTCCCAACCTGGGTAAGGAAATGCGGGTTAAATCTAACTGATTTTCCTTCCGAATTTACAGCTCCCAAGGAACAGGGACAGGAGGAGAGGGAACAGCCCCAGGCTGGGCCAGGGGAGGCTCAGGCTGGACACCAGGAGGAATTTAACTGAAATTAACTGAAAGGGTGATAAAACCTCGGAAAGGGCTGCCCAGCGAAGGAGTCCCCATCGGCGGAGGCGTGCAAGGAACGACTGGATGTGGCACTCGTTGTGGTCTGGTGGAGAAGGTGGTGATAGGTCACAAGCTGCACTCGATGATCTCAGAGGTCTTTTCCAACCCCAGGGACTGATCCCTCGGGATTCCGAGGGGCCCTCACATGAGCGCAGAACACAAACCTGGCACTGTGCAGGGCTCTGCCCACGCTCTGCCCATGGAGGAGCTTCATCCCTCACAGACCCCTCACAGGGGCTTCACCCCCTCACAGGGGCTTCACTCCCTCATAGGGGCTTCATCCCCTCACTGGGGCTTCACCCCCTCACAGGGGCTGCACCCCCCCACAGACCCCTCACAGGGGCTTCACCCCCTCATAGGGGCTTCATCCCCTCACTGGGGCTTCATCCCCTCACAGACCCCTCACAGGGGCTTCTTCCCCTCACAGGGTTCCCCCCACAGACTCCTCACAGGGGCTTCTTCCCCTCACAGAGGCTTTAACCGCTCACAGGGGCTCCCCCCCCTCACAGGGGCTTCTTCCCCTCACAGGGCTCCCCCCACAGACCCCTCACAGGGGCTTCACCCCCTCATAGGGGCTTCATCCCCTCACAGACCTCTCACAGGGGCTTCATCCCCTCACTGGGGTTTCACCCCCTCACAGGGGCTTCATCCCCTCACAGAGGCTTTAACCGCTCACAGGGGCTTCACTCCCTCACAGAGGCTTCACCCCTCACAGGAGCTGCCCCCACAGACCCCTCACACGGCTTCACCCCCGACGGGGGCTCCCCTCAGCCCGGGCCCGCTCAGCCACCGCGGCCCCCCTCCGCGGGCCCCTTTGGTTCGGTCCAGCAGCGCCCCCCTCCCGGCGCGCAGCCCCCTGGTACGCCCCGTCACGCCCCCCCGGCAGGGGGCGCTGAGGGCGGTGCCCGCCGGGCCGGGGCGAGCCCGCGGCGGCACTTCCGGTGCGGGGCCGGGGCGGGAGCGGGAGCGGCGGCGGGGCCGGGATGGCGCTGGACGCGCGGCGCCTGGAGGGGCTGAGTCTGCAGGAGCTCAGCGCGCTGCTGGACGACGAGGAGCAGCTCCAGGACATGGCCCGCGAGATGGAAGAGGTGAGGGGCCGCCTCATACTGCCCGGCCGCGGCCTCTCCTCGGGCCGCCCCCCTCAGCCCGAGGGTCCCCGGTGCCGCTCGGTGTTGGAGGGGGTTCATGACTCCCCGCTCACGGAGCCGCCGGGCAGTGTCGGCCCCGCCGTGGAGCTGCCGGTGCGTGAGGAGCCCCGGGAGCTGCGGGAAGCGCTGCCGGTCCCTTCCTCGCTTCCCCTTCCCTGCCGCCCCCGGCCCTCGTTCTCCCGGTCCCGGCCTTTTGTTCGCCGGCGGGGGGATCGCTGCCCGCGGGGTGCTGTACGAGGAGTGAGGGCTCGGCGGGCTGAAAACGCGAAATTAAATAAATTCAACCGCTGAATTAAGAGACACTGACGGCCCGGAGGTGGGATCCGTTCGCACAGCCCTTGTTTTGTGCCTTGGCCGTGGTGAAGGATTTTGCCAGGGTGAATTCAAAACAATGTGAAAGAGATTTCTGTGTGCCTCGGTTGGTATGCTGGGCACAGCCAGGGCTGTCAGGCTTTTCTGCTGCTTGTTTTGCCTGTTTGAAGTGTCTTTGTCAGTGCATCACGCTCTAAGTCGTGCTTTTGGATCCGTGATTCCTAAAACAAAACAGGAGCCTGTTTTCTTCGTCTGGCTGTGGTTGTCTTTAACTGGGTTTTCTATGTGCCAATGGACACTGGGGGTTACAGTTCAGATATGAGACTGTTCTGGGTTTATTTGGCCACAGATGTCCCTGAAAGAATCTTACTCTTAGTCAGATAAGAGCAAATAAGATTAAACTATATGTATGAAAACTTGAAAAATATGTGCTCTACTTTTCTGGGTCCTGTGTTTATTGTGAGTTTTTTGTTTTCTTAAATTAGAGGACAAAAACCTCGGGAGATGAAAAACAGTGGCAGTGTGTTCTTGAGAAAGGAGTTTAGTTTATTAAGTGAAATCAGTTATAATTGTGTTCTCTCAAACTAGGGTTCTGGTCCTTTTGGTGCTTCTGAGGAAATTGTTCCCGATCACCTCGAACCAAATTGTCAAAGTATTACCCATGGAGAGGCCCACTGAAGGCTGGGGCTGAGTTGATGAGGTGTCCTGGGGAATTTATTTGCTGTATTATGCAACAATTTAGATCTTGAACTTTGTGCCAGTAGATTTCTGAGAATGGGGCAGCCATAACTTTTTGTGCAAGCCTATATTTTGAGAACTTAGACGAAACAGACAGTGCTGTAGAAGTAGAACATGCAGAGAGCTTTTGGAGGCCCTGTGGTGTGCAGGGGGCAGGAGCACCCTGCTGAATAAAAGCTATTTAAGGAAACTCAGCGGGTTATAATGGGCTTAACTTGGTGAAGATGGAACTGGTGCAGTGCTGCTGGCTCCAGTGTGACCCCTGACAAGGGACATGTGCACAAGGCCTGCCTAGGTGGGCTCTTTATTATCATTTATTTGTCAGTGTGGACTTAAGACTGTAGGTCAGAAGTGACAGAAAACCTCATGACCTCGGTAGAAAACCTCTCTACACAACCAGCCCATATTCTCGATTTGACCCTCAGGTTTTCCTCTTTCCTTGGCATCTTAAGGCTTTGAAATTGTAGAGCGAAGTTCTGTGGGCCTGAGGGAATATTTTGTGGTGTTTGGAAAGTGTGGCCAGGTTTGAAGGTGCTCAGGCTGTGTGGAAACACGGCTGTGCTTCTGTCTGCTATAATCCTCTTTTATTGCAGGTGGAGGCTTTTACTGGAGTCTGTTCAACTAGAAATGTGTTTACCCATCTTGGAAGGAATTGGCCATGCTTGAATATTTCTTCCTCCTTCTGTTTTTGCCTTCACTGAATTGTTTATTGCCTGTGCTGCTGAGACCTGAGTTTTTCACTGGGAAGTGTGTGGCAGGAAGAGGGAGAGAGGGAAATCCTGAACATTAAGGAGGCACCATGGTGACTTCACTGCTGCTTGGCTGTCAGTCCATATGTATCCAGGTTGTGGCGTTATTCCAGAGTTCTTAAATTCCTAATTTTACTGTGACATGCCAATTAAATCACTATTCCCGAATCCCTTCTCTAAGGCCACTTGTATTTTCAGTGGCAGACTTGGTTAAAGCTGATTATTCCACAATTGAAAAAATCCTTTGTTCTCCTTGTTGCAAGGGAAACCCAGCTCAAACCCCAATGTTTTGTTCACAGAGGAGGAGGATTTGGAAAAACCACTTGGCTTTCTTGCTAACAGTTAAAAATAGGCGCTTCCAGCCTTAGAGGGAATGTATTCCTGTGTGACATTTGAGCAGGATTTGTGGGGGTGTGTGTCTGTGTCTGTGTGTGCCCACAGGGTGATGTGCTCCCAGAACGTCCTGCACGTGTGTCCCCAGGTGGGTGACACTGTGGCATCAGAGCTGAGCTGCTGCTTTTCCTGTCTGAGGTTGGGTTTGCAGGGCTTGAACAACGAACATCTTGTCTGCCAGAAAAAGGAAGGAAGCTGCTTGTCTGGTACTCCCAGTCTTTTAAAACTGAGGAGGGCTTTTTTTTATCATTTCTCAGGTTGATCTTTGTAGTGCATGTACAGCATCCATCTTCATGAAATTGGCAATTACAGGATGGTTTGGGTTAGAAGGGACCTGAAAGATCATTTAGTTCCAAACCCCCTGCCATGGCAGGGTCATAAAAGTAATTTGTTTAGAAAAGTCAGTCTTGGTGAGATAACCCTGAAAAGCACAGATGAGAGAATTTGTGACCTGACACTGGTGATGATTTGATGAATTTCCCTGTGAAAGTGAATTTTCTTTTTATCTCCTGGAGCATCACTTCTGTAACAGTGCAGTATTGTGTTACTGAGTGCTAAGGTTCCATGGCCAAAAATTGTTTGCTTTTCAATACCTTAATTATGTGAAATCAAGAAGTCAGAAATGTACTGCCTTCTTCTCATTCCAGCATTTCAGAGTACACTGGCAAGCACAAAAGGAATTTTTTGAGCCTAGTCCTTTTCTCAAAAGCTGATTGAACAGATCACGCAGGGCAGAAAGTCCAAGTTAAACTATGTCCATTCATGCCCAGATTTCTTGGATTCCTACTCCTGTCCTAAAACCACATTGTGCAAGTGGTCATGTTCTTGTTGGCCAAACATGAAATTTAGTTGCAAAGTTAGGAATTAGACTTGGTGACAACTACAGATTTCTCTCTTCTAGCTGAGTATCAAATGAGTAACTTGTCTGTGTCTGACGAGTGCAAATTGCAGTGCTGAGTGTCTTGCCTCTGCAAGAAATGTCTAGGAACTGCAGCTTACCTTCTAAGCTTTATTTTGTCATTTTCAAGTAATCAAAAGAGCTAAATTTAGCCAATCTAATTACTTTGCAGTATGTTTTAATATTTATTACAGAACAGATGTTCTTAGGGGGTATATTATTATTCAAGAGTCCTTGATGAAAAGCACTCCTAAATCTTCTGTGAAAGAAGTCTCTTCTCCTACTCTGCACCTGTCAGCTCCAGTTTCAGGGGTTAATTTGACACTCTGAGTGTGCATCTTTATACTTCCACAGTGTGACTGCATATTTTCTTCTTCATTTACAAGTATGTGTAAGTGAAAGAGAATGTGGGAGTGATAGAGGCTGGAGAAATCTAAAACTACCATGGATGTGTCCTATGTATAAAGCAATTAAAATGGTGCCACACAAAGCTGCTTTTTATTTATAGCTCCTTAAGAGACTTTTTCTCGAAGGTACCATGAGACTCCTCTCTGTGATGCTGGCCAGAGCAAGCTTATAATTAGAGCAGCTCTTGATGGACTTTGTGGGTAGTCAGGATTGCTCAGTGTCTCAGGAGGCAGCTCCTCTGGAAATGTGCTTTTGGATGAGCCAGGGTGACACTTTCTCAGAGACATTTTACACAAATAACTCTTGCTGCAAACCATTATTTTAGAATAAGGGATCAACATTTATAGTATGAATGTTGCTAAGCTAGTACTAGTTCTGGTTTAATTTTATCCAGCTTTTTTTTCCTCCCTTTTTTAAAAGTGGGATGAAACAAAGCTGCAGTTCATAAAAGTAGTAGACTCTAAATTCCCAAAGTAGTTCTGCTTCCTGCTCTTGGAAATGCTTATTAAATAAATCCTTGAGTAAAGTTATTCAAATTATGTTCATTAAAGAAATTCTTTTTTTAAGCAGCTGAAATTTTGAAGTGCTGCATAAACCATAGCTTTTGTTTTTAATAACCTCCGTGTGTCCATGTATTCATTTTCTTGCAGCACAGTTTGGTGTTGAGTGGCCTGCTCAGGAGTGAGCAATCCTTGTAAAATCCCCTTATAAGCAGCTCAGTATGTTTGCCCTGTTTGTCCCATTCAGAATTCATAGTGAGAGCTTAGCAGTTTAAAAAAAACTGTGATATATTCTCCTTAATATTGTCCTGTCTCACTGTGTCTCGTGATTCTGACTGGTATTTTCATCTGGTTTCAGATTAACAGTTCAACAGTTTCCTGCCTGTTGAAGTACTCATGACCTCAAGAGTCTTGTTAGGAATTCTGCTGGACTCCCATGCTCCTGACTTTTATCTCTAAATAACTTTTTTCCTTGCACTTCCAGTGGGCAGGTGAACAACCTGCAGGAGCAGTTCCCTGCTAATGCACATTTTTGTCACATGTGACAACATAATACCTTTTGTTGGATTTATTCCTTCCTCAGCCTTTGTCTTGGGCTTGTGGAAAGCTGTGAATGGATGCTGAAAGCATGCTTTGTGCTGCACTGATAATCTTAATAGACTGCTCATGCTGGACTGTGCCTTTGACCCTTGGATGATTTTGCAGCTGGTTTT